ATTTCTTAACTTTATTCATAACTGTATCAATTGGTTTATTAATTTCCTCATATGGTCCTGTTCGTATGTGAGTGTTTACCTTGTCCAAGTAGTCTGATTTGTCTAATACTACCGTTGCATTTCCTTTGTCTGACTTTGTGATAACTATATCCTTGTTATTCTTAAGGTGTTTCAGGGCTTCTAACTCTTGTTTTGTCAGGTTTGGCTTTCCACATTTTTGTCGTTTCAATGTTAGTGCACATTGTGCCCGTACTTCATCAGCCGTAGTTTTGTCTATTCCACTTAGTGCTATTTCTATTTTAGGGATGACATCCTCAGGTTTCAGCTTGTCTACAGATACATTGAAATTTAGTCCCTTTTCTTTCCGATTTTGTCAAGTTTGATTTTGCCTTCTTTTGATTTTTTAGGGTTATTGTACATTGTGCTCGAACCTCTTCTGCTGTTGTCTTATCTATTGAACCTAGTGCTACTTCTATGTTAGGAATGACATCCTCTGGTTTTAATTTTTTCACTGTTACGTTGAAATTTAGTCCTTTCTCCAGTACTTTCATCTCACTGTAGCTTAGTTCCCTTGATGAGAGGTTGATCACCCACATTGTTTTGTCGATAGAGGATGAAGCATTGACATCAATTTCATATGCTGTGTTCTTTTCTTCAATAAGTTTGTTGAATTTTTTGATTTGTGTGTTTTTTGATTTTCCTAATGCAGATTCTCTAGCTTTTTTTGGATGTTTCAAGAATAATTGTATAATCTTTGTCATTGATCACATATATTTGAGTTTGTGTTTGAGTTTTTCAATTTCATTTCGTATATTATTTAGTTTTACAGTAACTCGATGTAATTCTTCTCTTAGACATATTCTACTGACATGTTCCAATACTACTCCGTAATGTTATCCCTCCATTTCCTTCGCAAGATTCCTAGTGGCAGATGGGAACCTATTTACAGAGTTATTCTCGAATATAGATTGCGACTCACTGTAACTCAATTAGATGCTTCAAACAATATGAAATGGAGTGAACACAGTGCATTTTTATGGACAGAACATCTAGGTAATCTGATGATTGAAACAAGCCGCCCAGTATATCAAGTCAGCAGATAAAATGGGTGTAATTTGCAGTGTATTCAAGGGCTGTTTGACACGTATAATGTTTAAAAGAATATAAGAACACCATCCTGAATAGTTACACAATAGTCATGATGACTCTATAAGCACTGCGATAATTAAACATCTTGTGAACACTGGTCGTCCCATCTCAACTAACACCTTCTTCACAGTAATCTACAAAGTAAAGCAAAATCTAACAAAGACAATAAACTATTGTCTCTTTTACACTGATGAGGCATTAGCTATTCAGTTCCAGAAACCGAAATTATTTCTACAAAAGAAAAGTATGGAATCATTTCCACTATCATGGAGAAAACCATGTTGATTTCTAAATAGTTGTCTTTTGTATGCTTGTTTTTCTAACCCTCCACAACTCCCGTATTTCTTTAGAACTCTTACATAATTCAGAACTAAATAATTACGGCGAACAATTTTGCTTTCAATAAATTCTTCTTCAGTCTCTACAGTTATAAATGCATTAATTTAATTATGCAATAGTCAGTAAAAGCAAATTACAGTAAGTCACCTACTTTTGTGACCAACTGATAAAACGAAAGTTATGCATGTAGGAATCCAATTGAAAAATGTTAAGGAATTATTATTCAAATGCACTATGAATGTCCACTTCATGTTCAACAATGATGCTGTCGTCATGGGATCACCTCTAGGCCCCAAACTAGCGGATATTTTCCTGACAAAGCTTGAAAATGGTCCACTCAAAGACACGATTAAATGGCTCGATTATTATTGTTGATACGTAGATGATACATTCATCGTTTGTGTTAGAAAACTTAACAAACAAGAACTTCCGAATGCTGTTAATAGTGTTCAGTTATTCAGCTATTCAGTTTACACCTGAGGAAGAAGAAAACAACAGTATACCTCTGCTAGAATTCCTCCTCACCATGAAGACAGATGGAGATCTATAAAGGAACTTATTTAGAAAGAAAACTTGGACGGGTCAGTACACCCATTTTCATAGCTTCGCACCAATTCAATGCAAAAGAAAATTAGAAGTGTCTAAGTTATAGAATAAAACCCATATGCTCAGAGGGGCGCATCAGGGAAAGAAAATGGATATCCATGGAATTTCCTAAAAAGTATATGTCAGTACCTAGAGATAGGGTAAAAAGGTGGACACCGTTGGTAAGAAATCTTTGTATCTTAAGTTAAGTTAGAAAGTGGAAATTACAGCTGACATTCTAAAATGTTGACTTAACAGAGCAGTAGACAGAACATTTCCTGCAGCTGAATCGGTATCCAACTTCTCAACTAAACCAGTACCCACACAAGGAGTGAAGGATAAATTACCGAAGACGCCTTTATCAATATGTATCTATGAATTCAACTGATCATGTGAAGCTAGCTACACTGGCCGTACTTGAACATTTACCTGTTCGGTTGAGTAAAACGGCAACCAAATACGTAAATAGTGCAGTCTTAGCCCACCTGGTAGATACTGGACACTCGATAAAACTTGACCAGGTGCTCTGAATTATTCACCACGCGCTCCTGGTAATCTATCTAGACGAGCTCGAATACTTCTTCTATCAGTAGCTCAAGCAGTGGCGATCAATACCAGAAGACCGACTCTTTGTATACAGAAGAAGTATGTTCAACGGTTATGTTAAGCTTAGCGTACAATAGGGACAACAAACCGCATCACAACTTTCTTTTCTTCTTCTTATTCTTCTATTCCTTTGATTCATTGACAAACGTTTATTTCTTTCACTTTATATGATTTCATGACCCTTCTTATGACTTCTATTACCTTAGATTCAAGTAGAGTTTTTATAACTTGTTATCATATTTACACAATCCTGTTAATTTCACTACATTGAAATCATTATTGTTATTATTATTTGACAATCATTCGCCAATAATACTTCTCACTTTTTGGTGTGGTTGTGTTCTCTGACCTGGATGGTTTGGTTGCGAAGCTTTCATTGCTCTACTGAGCAACATCTTCAGCGCATACTTCGATGTGAAGTAGCTTTTAGAATTCTCTATGAGTTTATTAGTCATTTCTTCTAGTAACCTTGAACGTGATTGGTTGTTTTCGTGTGACATTTCACCCCCTAGTTTGCTTGTCTCGGTGCTGGCTGCTTCTTTGGTCTGAATGTCGCTAGTCATTCCTTCTGCTAACCTTGAACGTGATTGGTTGTTTTTGTGTGACTTCTCACTTTCTAGTTCACTTGTTTTGGTGTTGACTGTTTCCTTGACCTGAAGTTTGACTTTGGTTTTGTGTGAATTTCTTCGTATGGATTGGTATATTTTGTCAATCTCTATGTGTCTATTGATTGCTGATTCATTTGAATACCAGGCCTCTAGGAATTCTCTGGCATTTTTGCAGTTCCCTTTTTCTAAGATTTGAACATTGTCCCACTCATAGATATACCCTTCTTTCTCTTCTTCGAAAATAACTGCTCCCGCGTCAGTGGCATAGCGGTTAGGATGCTCGCCGACCATGCACATGGTCCGGGGTTCGATCCACGGCCGATGCACTAAGCCAGAAATGAAGCTGATGAAGGGGAAAGGTTGGGCATGAGGCTAGCAACTTCATCCTGTAAAAATAATCATTGTTAAAGAAACTTCAAGCCTCTTGCTTGAAGCCCAATGTTTCACTGGGAAACGTGAAGGAATAATAAGAAAAAGCTGCTCCCGCAGATACATGTAAATTTGTATACACAGTTGGAGTTAACTTGAGAAGGATATCTATCGACTTTTGATTGAATCAAAGAGCAAGTTGTTCGATAGACGGGAACGAGCTTAGCTAGAGGATAGGCTATGGTGCTCAGCCTTCTGTTGATCATCGCTGCAATGTTTTCGCCCCTATAATCAAGCTCAAAGTAGATTGGCTTTTTTCCTACTGTGATTTGTTTTTCATTTGTGACTTCAGATCTTTCATACTTGTTGATGAACCTTTTGAGGGTACCCATTGCTCTTCAATGTCTTTTCAAGAAACTCCAGTTCTTCCTCTAATTTCTCTATAGAGCATATTCTCCTCGCTCTATAGTACAGAGTCTTGACTAAATCACGTTTAAAGCTATTTGGACAAAAGATATTTGATCTTATATTCTCATTGACCATGTATATTGAAAAATTAACTGACTATTGTTCCATCCTATCTTATACTTGTTCCACAATACATTTTCTGATATGATTCTAATTTGCCTTTACTGACTAGCTATTGTAGGCTTGAATTACTGGATTTATAATTTTAGAGCCGGGAGAAGAATTTATTGAAAGCACATTTGTTTGCTATAACTTTTTTGTTCTAGATAAATTATAGGAATATTCGCGTTAAATAATTCCAGGTTTGTTTCTGTGTGCATCTTGACGACAAATGATTCATTCCAGTATTCATCGTATTGCTTGACATGTAGGAGATCGTTTGTCAAGGAGAAGGTGAGAGATTATGGCCAATCGTGGACTTAAATGAAGAAAATAGTTTGAAAATGGAAGAAAGTGGAGATGTGGTTTTGAAGCCCTATGTTCGTTCCACTCTGAACCCTAAGTAATAATAAGAATTCAGTTCAATTTATACATCGACACAAACTAACAAAATTGATTGGGACAACTATTATCACCTTTGTTGGCACCATTATTCATGCAGAACTCTAAATTAATACGACTGTACAGGTAGACGAGAAAGATGAATTTGCCGACTAAAAGCCTCTTCGCTAAACTACGTGACATTTTCTCTATCAATGTTATATACTACTGATTATAAGTTTACTTGAAGATTCAACACAAAAAGGGTGAATAGCTGAGAATTCTACACGACAAATATGTAAAACGCAATTTTAGGAATGACGCAAAACCTCGCTCAGAAACGTCTGTAAATCTACTCTTATCGAAGACTTAATCAAGAAGAAGGAGGCAGTATCATTGAGTTTGCAAAAATAAACTTTATTCAGAAAAAATTAAATTATTATTAAATTATCAGTTAAATTGTGTGTTGCAATTACTGCTGCATTTCTCCCCCCACTCAGTCAAAACAAACACATGTTTGTCCTGTATTTCCTTGGAGATTCTGATTATTGGCGTACTGTCTCCAGCTGGATTCGAGTTGTGTCCATTTAGCTTGGGGTGTTTTTCTATTTGTATAGAATGGCTTTCGGGTTGGTAGTGTTGCTCTAGTTCTTGTTCTTGTTGTGGTGGTGGTGGCGACAGTTGGCTTGGGTGTTATTCGACCTGGAATCCGTTGTTGACCACATTCACTTTGTGGCTTTGTTTGATAAGGATACTCGCGGTTCCAATTACCACTTCATAAGGTATATAAAAAACAAGGTTGAAATTATTTTAGTATCATTATTATTATTATTTTTATTATTAAAAGATTAATTTTTTAATTCCAATACGTTCTCAGTGGAACACACGGCCTCACGCTTTGAGATTTGAATTCCCTTCACTAGTTGTATCGCTCTTTTTTGATGTGTTTTACGAGGTGCGATTGGTAGCCTCACAGCCAAGCTTCCCTCTTTACCGGCTTAGATGAGATTACCGGGTGGGTAATCGGTCGGGATTTGTATGCCGAATCGTCTGGATGGTTGGCGGGCTGTCTGCTGATGAACCACCAACGCGTAAACAGAGACTACTGAACGATCAACGAGCTTGCCTTGTAACCGAAAGGTGCTGGGTGTATACTGTGAAGAGTCCCAAATTAGGACGACAGGAACAGCTAGCTGCTCAGTACTCTCCGGTGAATCGACAGATTACCTTTAAAAATTTGTTATAATTTTTTTTGATATTCATCAAAATGTATCTCTACAAAAAGTTAACTCACCCTTCACCGTAATTGCAAACGATGGATAATCCATAGCCTGTACTTTTACAAACTTTAACACCACATCCAACGTGTGTAGTATTCTGCCAGACCAACTGAAAAAAGACAAAACTATAAATTATTCATGGAGAATAGAATATTCTCATTCAAAAAGACATTCTTTGATAAAATCGTGTCAAGAAATTCCTATCTATCAAAATGGTGGTACACTGCTGAATGAAGACATCACAGATACTGGAATCGATGCTGAGATACTCCACTTCACCTTGTCTCTAGCCGCTTGATAATGATGATTGTTGTGTACCTGTGTTTCAATAGTTGAATGCTCGTAAACCACACCTCACGTGCTGCATCCGGCGACATCCGGCTGGAGTACTTCTAAATCTCTTTCGATCTGTATAAAGCTTAGGAAGGACGAAAGACCGATCACGAGTCCAGCAACTCAGCCCTGGTAAATAAACAACATCACTTCCACTGTAGTTCACATAAATTGATGCTGTAGGTTCCACTCAGCATTCTGATGAACAAAACGTAGAAAAATGAAGAATATTGAACTCCGTAGCATTCAAATGTCATTTTTCGCAGGTGTGTTGGAGAATAACATGAAGAAGATCAGATGAAGAGAAGGTGAGGACCTACTAACCATTGTGAAACCAGTTAAACAAGAACTCCTGAGGTCGTATGTTTTACTCATAATTCATGAGGAGCCCATTCACAATAGATATCTATTTAAGTCAAAGATGATTCTACTAGTTGAAATGAAGACAGCTGAGGACAAAATGACTTATTCATCTTCAAAACCAACCAACTAAGCAACAGAGAAACAAAGAAAAATACACATCTTACCTGTGTATAATGGCCACACACTTTGGAACAGCGTTGTGTATTATAATCATAATATTTATACTCTAGAAACCATGCTTCTACAGCTCTAAAATTAACAGAAAAAGAGATTAAAGCAAAATATTCATCTTAATGGCTTACCTCTCAACAGTTGAAACGGCAGCTACATTTTGTCCAACATACTTAAATTTACGTGATTTAGGTTCGTCGTGCTCAATTACACAAGTATCCGCCAATTTTTGAGCAAGTTGGGCAAGTTCATTATCCCACTTCTAAATAAGGAAGACAAGAGAAAGGCGAAAGCAAGAAAATCATAATTAAAAAAAAAACAGTGACACCAGAGGAGAAAATGAAAGACTGTAGGTTTTGTTTTGTGTCAGGCAGCTAGCTGCCAGTGGTCGAGCAAGAAAAAAGGACAGTGGCGGTGGTAGGCAGATAAACTTACAAGATCTGGAAGATATTTAGCCGGCGGTTGATTTTCCAATTCACAATTCATCACTTTATGTCTATATTCATTGTGTAGTCGAAGTAATTTCTGAAGATCTGCATTCGCTGGTTGAGAGTTGACACTTTGTAGACAGATATGAAGTGATGACAGGTAGAATAGCCAAAGAAGATGCATTGTTCCCACCAATTGTGTTTTATTTTGTTCTATGCTGTGTTTTTACAGACGACTATTTATACCATCTGCAATCTGTTTCTCTGTACACACTCCACCAATGAAATTAGCTTTAAACTAAAATTTTATTAGCTATTTTACGCTGCTTATCGTTCCCAAGGATAGTTTTGATGAATTCAGGTGAACATTGATAGGTACAGTGCTACTCTCTTTTGTAAAAATTCTCATAATTGACCAGATGCTTCAAATTGTACGCCTCCCACTCGCTATATGTTTTTTTCTATATGTCTGCATATTTGTTAGTATAGAAGGCTGTTGGCTAGTTCATGTTAATTGTTCATTATCTTTGCTTATCGTCTCCGGCTGGCCTTTGTATGCTCATTATCGACTGAAGTCGGATGTTGATGAAATTCGCATGATTAGGTCCCATAAATGTTGATTGAGTGAGTCAATGTCGGTGGAATGGAGTGGAGGAATAGGAGTCGTTAGTGATGTCTAGTTAGAATCTGTCTACTTAAGCAAGACTTCTCTTGACTGTCAAAAGAAGTATCACTTTGAAGTGACAGTCAATTCTATGAAGAGTACAAGTATTTACTTTCTGGACCGGAAGTAAATATTCCATTTTTCGTGAGTTATTTTAAGATGTGGCAGTGCAACCGAAATGCATCGACACTTGAGAAATTTGTCAATTATCCTATAACAGGTGATCACAATAGACGATGTTGCTGCCTAATATTGACAGTATTTGGATGTATGAGGCGTGGTAACACTCTGAATTGTGGACGTGGGTGTTCATACAAGACTTTTTACTATTATTGTTTCCTTGAGTTCCGAGTGGAACATAGGACATAAACAACACATCTTCACTTTGTCCGATTCTCGTGTTGTTTTCAAATTAATGTCCTGATGGGTATTTTCCATGATTTGAAAAAATGCAAAGACCCTACGAAAGTTAAGAAGCTCACTGGGTTTCTGTGTTACTCTGTCAAGCTGAACTTCTTATTCCTGTTTTCTTACTCCCCGCTTACTTTCTGCCATTTAATCCACTTTAGATTGTCAACGGTAATAAGAGGAAGCCTTGTCTTGCTCCTGTATTCACTTCGAACACCTCGCTGAGTTTTCCACTGTGGATCACCTGACATGTAGCACTGTCCTATAGCCAGCTGGTGTATGAGGTTGATAAAGACTTGAGCACTGCACGCCAAAGTGTTGAAGTAATTTCCAATATACTTCGCGATCAACGCATTCCGGTGAAAGCCTTTTCGAAGTCGATGGAGGACGTTGAGGTGGAGTGAGGTTTGACTGCCGTTCTCTGTTTTGTTCCGTGATGTCGATGCGTATAGCTACAATTTGATCAGGAGATGATTAGCCTTTCCTGAATGCAGCTTGTTCCGGTGGGTGGCGGAGTTCTGCATACAACTTATCTTTTATTCTCTCCAGAATGATGCAACTTATTATTTTACTAAGTGTCGACAAGAACATGATTCCGCGCGAGTTCTTGCAGTGGCTTAAGTCGCTCTTCTTTGGTAGTTTGATAAGGTAGCCAGCCTTTTTTCCAATCGGTATGTAACTTTACTTTCGTCCAAACCTTTTGCAATAATAGCGTGAGCACATCTTCAGCAGTCTGAGGAGCTGTTTGCAGTGTTGGACCAAATTCAGGATTTCTGCCTTCATTGGAGGTAATTATGTAATCTTTCCCATCTTTTATTGGTTTCATCATCTGGGTTGTTCTCTTCTCAGATAGAGACCTGGTTATTTCATATAATGTTCTGGGCTCTTTTTTGCCTGCGCCTTGTCTGTTCTGCTTCAGTTGCCAGCCAGTGTAACGTAGAACAATCTTCTGTGAGATGATTATCGTACTCAGCTTCTCCTTCTGTTGTCCATCTTTGCATTTATTGATCTTCTGTATCACCATCCTCCCATTTTCTATTAGTCTCCAAGTATCCATTGAGAGCCACTCCTTGTCTTGCCTCTTCTTTCTTCCTAGAACATTTGTACACGTTTTCTCAAATGTCGACTTCAGAGAGTTAGTTACAATATTCTCCCAGGCAGGTTTCCTCAGTGAAACCTTGAAGTGTCTCCTATGTTGCTCTGATCTGATCTGTAGTGAAGGCATCCCGCGTGATTTCGCCCCTCAGCTTCAGAACTTGGAACCTGAATTACAGTGGCCACTCTTCAGTTGTTTTGAGGGATTTCAGCTTCACCTTGAAGGTTCCTGGAACTAGCTAAGTAGAGGTTTGAGCCCAAATCTGTTCCCCTTTTCATCTTTGTTTTCAGCAGGCTGGCTGCGTTTCCACTTCCTTAGGCAGTATTGAGATGAAGTTTGTCTGGTTTGTGGTGTGTCCGTCAGGCGAAATCCAAGTTATTTTGTGCGTTTCCTAGTACTTGTACACACTGCCTCCAATCACTAGATAATTGAAAGCGCAGAAGTCTGAGAAGAGTTCCCCGTTCTCATTCATTTAGCCAAGATACATCCTCTCGACCGATGATGAATTCACTTCTTGTATTATATGACACTATTTCGACTGGCATTCATGTAGTACATGAGGAATTGGAAGTCACTGTTTGTGATGTTGTCCATTATTGTTTGCATTTGTATATAGACATCTTAGTTCTTCTCTTGTTCCGCCTTCTTTAGTGCTGTGAGTTGAATCTCGTTGTCATTATCCTGGCTGAAATTTGTTCCCACTGCATTGGGGCTCTGGCTGCCACTGGTGACATCGTGATAGTCACTCACAACCTCAGTGTGCTCGTGGTTGTCGTCTGGATGACCAGACGGAGTAGACTACTGACTCTCCAGTTGACAATTTCGACAGTCCACATCTATTCCATCTGCTGTCACAGATACCCAGTACTTCTAAGCCATATCTTCGCACTTCTTTGGCTACCTGGGCAACCTTCCCAGCCAGCCTCGTAAGCTTATGCAGATTCCACATCCCCACGTTTCATTCTTGCTCTCCTCGACAGGAGACACATTGGCTGGCTAACCGGCTCCATGAAGCCTGGCTTTCGCCAGCCCACTGTGTCATTACGCCTCTCCGATTTCAGCGAAGAATAAGACTGTTATTTCAGTTTGTTATGTTTTCAGCACATATTTTTTATGTGCATTGAATTTTCTCTACCAGTTTGATAGCTTCGGTGGTGTAGAGTTGCTAGCCCCATAACTAACCCTTTCTCTTTACATGGCCTTGCGATCGTCTAGGGAACTAGCCAGCTAGTTAACTAACTAACACAGATGTTCAGAAATTAAACTCTCACAGCTTGAACACACTAGAATTAGCGGAAATATCATAAATATTTGGAAATTGTGTGACATGAATCGTGTAACCAGGGCGAAATATGATTAAGGTGAAAATTAACAAAGAAGTTGAGTAAGGAGGAGGAAAGGAGGCCTGAGAACTGTTTCTGTCTGAAATCAGGAATCGGTTTCCAAGAGGTTGCTAACAGTACCTTTGGTGAATTTAAGAAGAACCGAACTATGTTGTATAACGGTTAGCGCTCATAGATTTCAAGTTGTTTGCTTTAAGTAACGAATCAACAACTTTGCTTGTTAGTAGCACAAACCAGTGTATTAAATTCTATACAATGATTCCTTTTATAAATTTGAACAAAGAAAGAAAAAACATTTTTGTTATTAAAAATAAAAAGTGTACAATTTTAACAAACGTTTGTGCATTAGGAAGCATAGTGTCAGAGCGTCATAGTAAAATAAGGCATGGAGATTTACAGGGTGTCTAAAGTGTCACGACATATATATCTTGGTAGAGAGAAGTTTCTTGAAAATATTAGCAAACAGTTGCGTTGTTGGGTTGGTAACAAAAGACAATTAGCAATAGTTACGTAATTAGATAAGAGAAGATCAAAATTTCAAAATTACGGTGCACATGAGGTCAGATGAGAAGTTGATGATGTAATACAGTGAGCAGAACTCAGAAGATCAAGAAAAATTATCTCTTAACAGAGTCAAGCGAAACATAAAGGGGGGGTGGAATGAAAGGATAAGTTCACAAAATTAACAAAATTAGAAAACAAAGAGTTACTAAGAAGTGAGTTACCAGGGTAATTGAAGTCCAACAACGGATTCTTTTTGGACACACAAGTCAGGCTTCAATCGTTTTATTGCTATAGCTTCAGCAAACCTGAGAAGACATGAGGTACTTTGTCTGTTAATTATTTTGAATGATTTCAGCACATATACTCAGTGTCCTGTGTCAATCAGGTATTTGGCGATTGAAGAGCCTAAACAATTCGGTCCCTGTAACCGGAGGCTCCTTGGTACATGTTTGCAGAATCTCGTGTAAGCCCTCCTCTCTGTTATTCCAATGTAACTGCTCCCGCAGATACATTTGAATTGGTATACACAGTTGGAGGTAACATTTGAGGGGTACTTGTCAATCTTTGACTGCACCAGTGAAGAGGTTGTTCGGGATAGAGAGACTAAAAACGCTGCAGGGTACGTCCTAGACAGGGCTACGCTTAATCTTTTATTCATCATTCTCATAATGTTGTCACCCTTGTAGTCGAGTTTGATGAAAATAGGCTTCTTACTGACTGTAGCAGTATCAAGCTTCTTGAATTCATTCTTGCGATATTTGTTAATGAAACTTTGTGGGTAACCATTTTCTTTCAAGCACTTTCCAAGAAACATTAGTTCATTATCTAGTTTGTTTGGTGAACATATTCTCTTCGCTCTAGAGAAAAGCTTTTTCACCAGCGTTCGTTTGTATCTCACCGGACAGAAGCTGTTGAAATTCAAGTAAAGACCACTCCATGTGTCTTTACGGTATACAGATCTTTCGAGTGTCCCGTCGTATTTTCTCTCCAACTTTACGTCCAAAAAATGGAATTTTTCATCATCTTCATGCTCCATCGTGAAAGTGATGCTTTTGTGTACATTGTGGAAAGAGTCTAATAGAGACGAAGTGTGACTCAAATCATTGCATACAATGAATGTGTCATCAACGTATCTATAGTAGGCTGTTGTTTCGCCAGTTGCACACTTGAGCTTTGTCTATTCCAGACTGCCCATAAGAATATCAGCTAATATCGTGCCCAGTGGACTCCCCATTGCCACACCATCAACCTAGCGATACATTTTGTTGTCAAACTGGAAGTGTATATCATTAGTATCTAACAT